GCCTACCATCCTGAAAGCCAGGGGGCACTAGAAAGGTTTCATCAGAAAATCCATGTTGCGCAAACACTGTTATGGTTCTCCAGGGGACTGGGATGATGGTGTTCCCCTTGTCCTGTTTGCTGCCCGTGAAGCTGTGCAGGAATCCTTGGGTTTTAGTCCTGCTGAACTAGTGTTTGGTTAGGGGCCCCTTAAAAGTCCTTAAAGAACAGCTGGTCATGCCAGAGACTACAGTTACAAGTATACCAGCATATGTAACCAAGCTCAAAGATCGCCTTCAGTTGGCCTGCTCTTTGGCTAGAGATGCCCTGACCTCTTCACAGGTGAGAATGAAGCGGCAGTATGACCGGAAAGCGATCGTCTGCTTGTTCAATCCGGGTGATAAAGTTTTGCTTCTTTCACCCATACCTGGTTCTGCTCTCTCCACTAAATTTTCTGGTCCATATGTTGTAGAGAAGAGACTCAGTAACACAAACTACCTCATTCAAACCCCTGACCGCAGGCGGCAGACCCGGATGTGTCATGCCAATATGTTGAAGCTGTACCACGCAAAGGATGACCAGAACATGTCATCCACATCCCATGTTGTGAAGTCTGTCTCACCAGTGGCATCGTTCACAAAGGTGGGCTCTTCTGATGATGAGGATGGGCTAGTGATGGGTAATGCTAAGCCACAGGGGGTGAGGCTAGGTAACAAGGAGATCTTGTCTAATTTGCCCCACTACTTATCTCATCTTTCTGATACCAATGTGGTGAGGTTGAAAAACTCATACAGGAGTTCCCATGTTTGTTTAATGATGTCCCCTCCCAGACCTCAGTCATAGTTCATGACATAGTTCTGACTAACCCAAACAGATCAAGCAGCATGCATATCGGGTCAGTCCAGCCAAGAGGGAAGTCATGAAGGCTGACTACCTTGTGAGAAATGGATTTGAAGTACCAAGCTCTAGTCCATGGAGTTCTCCGTGTCTCCTAGATACCAAGTCGGACCGAAGTCCAAGATTCTGCACTGACTTTCGCAAGGTAAATGCGGTAACTGTGGCAGATGCATATCCGTTGCACCTCATTGACGACTGCATTGATGAAATTGGTCCTGCAATGTATGTCACTAAACTGGACATGTTAAAGGGATATTGGCAAGTTCCCTTAACACCACATGCCTCTGAAATCTCTGCATTTGTAACTCCTGACAGTTTTTTGCAATATACTGTCATACCCTTTGAAATGTAGCAGGGGCATTACACATGCCAGAGACTGGTGAACAAAGTATTGGGCGGTATTTCAAACTGCAGAGCATACTTGGATGACATCGTTGTATATTCTGATGACTGGTCAGTCACATGACAACCCTGAGGGAAGTTTTTGAACACTTGTCAGCCGCATCCCTAACGCTTAACCTTGCCAAATGTGAGTTTGGGAAGGGTACTGTTCTCTATCTTGGTCAGCAGGTTGGTCGAGGACAGGGGTGTCCTGTTGATGCAAATATCAAGGCCATTGCTGTATTTCCTGTACCATCTACCAGGAGAGAGCTGCGTCGTTTCCTTGGGATGGCTGGGTACTATCACCGGTTCTATAAAAACTTCTCCTCTGTGGCAGCCATATTGACCGCCTTAACCAGTCCTTCAAAACCCTTCGTTTGGTCTGGTGAGTGCCAACGGTCTTTTGAAAATCTGAAAAGCATCCTGTGTTATGCTCCTGTCCTGTCTGCCCCAAACTTCAAGCTCGAAGTTGATGCCAGTGTAGTTGTTCCAAACATGTTTGGATTTATAAGGGTGGGGGTGTTACATGCCAAGCAGGCCTGTTTTGTTTTGTTTTGTGTTCTTCCTGCCTTTTCCTCCCCCACTAATTTCTCCTCAGGTGTTGAGTGGGTGACTGGCTCACACCTGTGCAGCCTGGCCGAGCTGCACATTGGCCAAAGGAGGTTGGAGCTGGCCAACCAGGATGGAACATGTGAAATAAAAGGAGCAGCCTAGAAGAGTTTGGGCTCTCACCCCATGCAGTCAGCCTTGTTTGTAGCAGCAGTGTACCACAGCCCTTTGTTACACGTTGTAGTTTGTTGAATAAACTTTCATCTGCTGAGTTCTTCGTATCGGCACTACTTTTATGTTGCACCCCTCGAGCCGGGGTCGTAACAACAACTAACCCAAAAGCATATATGTACATGTATACAATAACAGCTTCCTTGGTTGGAACTATGCAGTTTCGATGCAACCGTTTCCCAAAAGTAGTCTGAACTATGGAGGTAACTTACATGGCACGATCCATTGTTAAGTAATGCAGGTGTTTCCCAAAACCATAGTTCTGACAACACTCGCAAACACTTGTTAAATTGTAATGCGAGTAAGCTGGGAATGTTTGATAATCCTGCTGTACAAACATATTTAAGGAAGTTTTTTTTTAAATGTAGCTATAAAAGTACTTTTAAATGGATTTGTCGGGACATGGATAGGGTTGCATTAATTCAGTACTAAGTAGTGTAGACAATCTACAAACAGCAAGTGATTTCTCACAGATTACCCATCTGTTCATAATTACTTAAACATAAGTCTCCCAGAGGTAAAACGACAAAACGGACACTGTAAAGACAAGACTTTTACTATTACCTTCATCTGTATGTGTGTACATGTCTAAGCCTATGAAGATGGGTGTTCTCTAGTCTTATATAAAAACATATACATATATAAAGAGGAGAGAAGACATAGAGTTCATCGGCTGAGCCATTCATAATAGTGTTAAAGTGTTAAAGATATTTGAAGATTACACTTTTAATTACACTAAATGTTTTGTACTCACTAATAGTTCCTAATTTTTTCTTCTAAAATGCTTCTAACTTTTTGTGAGTTTTGAAAGTTTCCTGCTGTGAAAGTCATGCCGAACGCACCTGGAAACATGTTAGTTCGAACTATATTGGTTCAAACCGCGGTGGTACCAATAAGGTATGACAGCTTTGGGAAATGGTCGCACTTCAGATGTTGGTTAGTTTAATGATGCATTTTACCAAGATAGTTCAATGCTACCTTCCATGGTTGGACGAGAAACGCAATCCCTGGCTGTCTGATGGTAACTAAATCCCCCTACCAGCACCTCTAAAGCTGAATATAATTCACACGTTGTATGTCATTTGTTTAGTTCATTTAAAAGCTGAAGCATAACAGAAAATCTTTTTGGTCGTTTTTACACTTTCAATCAAACAAAGACACAACATGCCTGCCTCACTTTGTTACTCTAGCATGAATCGTCAATTGAATCATTACAAGATCATACTTTACCCTTGGAAACAGCATACAGTCTCACCTGACAAAAACACATTTAGAACATTTAACCATCCACAAAAAAATAAATGAGATGTTTAATATAATTAAGCTGCTTGACTCCCTTCTTAGACCTTTATATTTCCACGAACTATTTACTGTTTAAGAAAGCCAATGTGTTACTACTTTTTGGACACTCTTCTGCAGAGAAGTTGATCGGCCTCTTTATAAGTGAAAATCATGCTTTTGTTAAACCAGAAAAATACTTCTTTTTCCTTTTCATTGTTACTTGAAGAAACAGGTTTGACAATACATTTACTTTAATTCCTGTTAGGGTCTTCAAGACAACTTGATTGATTTCTCTTGACCTGGTCTCGCCCCAGTCTGGATGCAGTTTTGACCTGAAATTGACTGAAGTGAGCTAAAGTGGACTAAGGTGGTCTGGACTGCTGCTTGCTATAAGTCAATATTTCCTCAGAAGTGTCACCAACACAAACTCTGCTTTGCCAAACAGCACAATTGAGCTCATTACGTATTTTAAAGCACAGATGAGGACGCAACAGTGATAAAGAGTTCAGTTACCAACCAGTGCTGCTCTCATACAAGACAATGAACAATGAGCTGCTCTCAAAAACACTCAGTGTGCACTTAGATTTATAGAGCAATCATCACAGTACGAAACTAACTTTACTATCTGTTGCTGCTCCCAACAACACAGAGGGATATTGTGCAATTGTGACCACCAGAAAGCACTGGAAACACATAGGGTAAAACAAACAAAAACACACAAACAGTGGGCACCAAGAAGGCACATAAACACCAACAACAAACATATCCAGACCTCCAATGTGGGTTAAAAGAGCATAAACACTGCTTACACATACGCAGATATACAGGCATTCAAAAAACACACAAAAAACCCCCAAAACAATGCAGGCACCAACTTGTGCAAACACACACATAAACACCGGCTTGCATGCTTGGAAACACACACACAATTTCTAATGTATACAAAAATACAGAAAAGTGGACACAGAAAACACCTGAGGTCAAATACTCTCCGTCACTGTACAAAAAACCTCCACAACATTGACAAGAGATTGCCACAGCCATGACTGCAATAACACACACTTCATTTCACTTCATCACTGTTTTTACTGTCAGCCTCAAAGGTCGTTAAGAGCTCCCTTTAACGAGCGAGCAAAATAAAAGCCCCTCCATCCCCTAACGAGACAAAATAAAAGCCCCTCCTTTAACAGCCTGAAATCTTATTAGCACTAATGCTAATTTGTAATCATAATGTCCCACTGTTTCGGTAAAATCTCAGCCTGCATGAGTGAGTGTGTTAAGTGTGATAAAGGCCGCACACATAAATACACACACACACACACCAAGCAAAAGACAATAGAAGTCAAGCAACACCAGGCTGAACAAAGATGGGCATTGTGTTTGGGGGTGGAGGGGTGGGAGTGAGACAGGACAGAGTTACAGCTCCCACACACACACACACACACACACACACACAGTGATGGCGGTGCTCAGACCTGATGTGTTCAGCAAAACATGAAAAAACAGGGCGTTTTTTTGTCTCCTTGACCTGTTTGACTTCCTGTCCTGGACAGGAAATGGACAAGCGGTTTAAGTGTTACATGTCAGGAGCCTGTCCTTGACATTTAGGGTCTGTTTGTAAGTGTGTGTGTGTGAATGACATCCGTCAAAGACTTTAAAGGGTGCCTGTGACTTCACACTTACTGTTCTTGTCATTGTCGAAGGCGTTTCCTTTAATAGTCCCTTTAGAATAAGTCTGGACGTCCGTTCTTTTACTCTCACGCTCCTCTTCCTCCTCCAGCTCAGCTCTCCTCCCTTGTAACTTTTGAGATGTGGTTTGAACTCCCCATGAAGGTAGGGACATCTATGCAGAAGAACAGAAAACTTGAGCGTTGTGTTGTGAGAGGTCAGGTTTGGTGGATGAATTCAGTTTGCGTCAAAATGAGAAAAACTAAAAAGGGTAGATGAAATTGATTTAGGAGGGTCAAATATATTTTCTGTCAACTCACTAGACCTGCATTCAGTTTTCAACTCAACACAAAAGTCTTTGAGTTGTTCTAATGACGATGAATGAAACCTTAACCAAAACCTTGCTTTCCTAAACGTAATATTTTGTCCTGGTGAATGCTTCAACATGAATATATAAAGGGACTGCACCCAATTTATTTTTAATGATTATTGATCAACATATCATAAAAAGTTTTATTTTTGGTTGAAGGATGTGTAGTTTGACTTTTTTGGGAGAATTACCCTGAATTTATATTCTATTTGAGCCTTCCCTTGCAACACAGTTAACTGTTAATAGTTAAAGAAATAGTCAAATCAAAAAGACAGTTTTTCAATGCACCATGCCCTGTATCAGGGCACAATGGCGGCACACTGAAGGGTCAAAGGAAAATATTAATAATGCTGCGGAGGTCCTAGCTTTGTTTTTCTAAGTAAAATGTTCAGCGCACCTTGCCCAACCAAATCATTTGTATACAGTGCCTGAAACTACTCATATATGATTTACAGGAGTGTTATGATTCTACTGACCTTTTGAGTAGCTACTTTCTAATCGAGAAAACCATCTCAGATTTATCTTGTGAGCATGTTTCTCACACAACATGTTTGTCTAAACTTTTTATTATTGTCTTCCAAATCAAAATCCTGCAAATATATCTGTAGGGTTTTATCGTCACCTTTAAGCATCTGGACAAAATTTGCAAATGAAGTATTATATTTAATCTCCACTGTGGAGAAAAATGCTTGACAAGCAAATGTGCTTCAGGTAAATCAGCAAGTAGTGGGAACAACATTGACATAAAATCTAAAAACTGATTACTTTCCTTAAAAGTTATTTGCAAATGCGTGTTAGTATGAAATGCAGAAGATATGTACCTTTGATGCGGAGTATATCTTCAGATGGAACCTTGTTTTCAACAAAATTAGCAGAGAAAATATCCCTGCCAGGCAGGAGAACAACTTCCTGGTTGGAGAGCACATGACTGGAAATCTGTCACATGCTTGGGAACCTATCAGGATTCAGCTCAGCAAATAAGTTGATTTCTGACTCTGAATCTAGTCATTTTTCAACTTGCTCCAATGACGAGTAACTGCCAAAGGCCTTAATGAGGAAAACAAAACCTTGTGCAAGCCAAGATCAAAAAGAATCCAGGTTCATGTGTCATAACCTGGCTAGTGGTGACTATAAGTACTAACGATTCTTTCAACTAATGAGTCTGTGAACATTATACACACAGTAAAATACTTGTAGCTTTTTGCAGCGTACAGCTTAATATAGGGGGGTGGTTGGGGTTGATGGATGGCCAGAAACCGGACTTTCAACCAGGAGACCACGTGAAACAAAAGATAAGCATTTTTAAAAAACAACACCAAAGGGGTACCGAGGACATTAATAAAAAGCAGCGCCATGGGGTCTTGACCAAGCGTTCATATGTGACGAGTTGGAAGTGAGAATGTGTTGGAAAAAACTGTGACTTCAGAGTGAGCACTGATTTGGTGATCTGTAGTTCGGGAGACATCCAGACTCGGCTAAATTCTTTTGTTTTTTTAAACATCTGCGTAATTTGTCTCAACAGAACTTTAATGGCTTGTTTTGTGGTGGGAATTGTATATTTTTCTTGTGGAGAATTGAACAAATAAATGAGTTACAGCAAACAGTTGTCTTTGGGCCAAGGGTGGCTCAGATCATCTGGTCAAGAGGAAAGGATAACTACGGGATCTAATGCAGGGAGACAGTTGTGGAGTCTAGGAGAACGCCGTTCTCAGCCATGACACTCAAGTACTCACAGGAACGGAGTAGACGTAAGACAAAACAATTTCATACATGTTCAAGCCAAAACTCTTAGGGGACAATAAGATGATGTTAAGTACATAAAGTAAATGATATATATAATTGTCAGAATGCATATGGGTAAAATCTATTTTCTGCTGCCACACTTGCCTACTGTATAATATAAAGTGAAGTTAATCTCTACTACACATTTAATATAACCTAAATGTTTCAATAAATGATTACTTGGTTATGCATGAGTTCAGTTTCCTCAACATGATGTATGGCTGTAACAGCATCAGACCTCCGATGTTTCAGTTATGAGACATTCCCTAACTACCACATCACCCTACCAGCTGTTCAGATCCGAGGGGTTTGAGATGAACCAAAGGATGAGGTAAAGAGCAAACCACCCTCTCCTACCTGAGCTCTGGAAGACGTCACAGCGTGCAACTACACGGTGACTAAACACCTCAACAATTTGGTGATTAGCATCTTGTTAAATTATATTGCTTTTTCCACTGAGCTGTTCAACTGCATTCCTTTCTGCTAGTTAACACAAAGACTAATGAGAGGAGCATGGCGTGTAAAATGACTTTACAGCCGTGTGTTGGTGGTACATGGACAACGGAAAACAAACAGCTGCAAAGACGTACCGATGCTGACGGACACGCCGAAGCACTCGCACACGCACAAAGAGAAACACTTTTGAAAACCCGTTCAGTTATCGCACCCAAGATCATGAACAATAGGACTTCCTTATCATCCCGACAAATGTGCATGTAAATATTGTCTGTTTGTTATATAAAAGTAAATTATTTTAGATTTACATATCTTAAATGTATTGCATATAGGTAGTTATTAGCTAATGCTAGCAAAAATCAGATATAAATATGGAGATACTGCAGCAACGCCAACAACAGATCCGCCATATTGGTTTGGGGAAGCCGCTCTGCCTAATGCATGAATGTTTATAATTGGAGGAGGTCTATCCACAATCATTATAACTTGCTGAATTTTCAACTGATTTTCCATCTGTTTGGTTAGTTACAAGTGCCAGACATGTATTTATGATACAGGATACAAACTCTTTATCTTTTGTAAATAGTAACAGTAATATTTTATGATGCCCTGTGGGTCATGTGTGGGCATGGCCAATATCTCTCTCCCTTGTGGGTGAGGAGCTGCGACTGATTGCAGTAACTCAGGGCACCTGAGCCAATTGCACTGTCGAGTATTTGTAACTCCTTGTTCTCATTCTTAGGAAGCTGGTTTGGTTTTTGGGTATGCTATCTTAGTTGTATTTACCGTGTTTTCTTGCACAACACAACATCCTTACACACACACCTACCTGTGCTTCCATCACCCTTTGCAGACACTACTGAAACCACTGATATTCATACTCCATACTGTTATAACAATAATTTACACTACTCTTAAGTTGGCTTATTTTGAGTTAAATAAACACACTTTGTTAAATGTTTACCTTGGTGTGTCTCCCTTTTGTTGTGGCCTTTTGAGCCAGGTGTAATATGAGATGAAATTCACCTACATAATTTGTTTCTAAGTATTTATTTCTCACTGTATTTTAAAATGGCTGCCAAGAGATCATTTTGTTTATAATGATGGAATTAATGAAATACTTCTGGCAGGATTCACAATTCTTTTTAATTACATTCGTAGTGAAATATTCATATTTTGCTCATTTACATTGTTACATTTGTTACAAATATTACAAAATACAGAAATTAAACATACAGTCTAACAGCAGGGTTGTGAAGAGTTTGCAGTCCAACAATACAGCACATAAGTTAATGTATGTCATGTTAGCACCAACAAACACTTCAAAGTTGAACTTAACACAATAATAAATAGAATGACATAGCTGTTTTTACAAATATCATTTTCAGCATCTTACTGAAATATTATTTTAATAAAAATGTTCCATCTATTCTTTCTTTACCTGACATATATCATTTTAACTTAGTGTCAGGACAGTCACTTAACTTTATGTTAGCTTAAAATAAAGGATTACTTATCGTGATGTATCAAATTCAACGTGTTAGTAACGGTAAAGTATTGTAAAATAACTTTGCACCTGTGAAATGTTCTTTCCTGTTGCTTGATTTTGACATGTCTTTCTATAGAGCAACCAAAAGCAGCGCAAACTTTTTTAATGTGAACTGGCCAGACCCCAGAGACGCTTAATCGTCTTCATTACCTCCTCCTTCTGGACTGGGGGATGTTTGCATTTGTTTTTATAAAGGATTTATATATATTTTTCTCATTTCAGCAGCTACAATTTTTGCTTTAAATTTTAATCACTGACTTTTATTTTATGGCTTTTCTTGGCTAAAAGTGAGGCTACATCAGTGGAACAGGGAAAACATGGTTGGATTAGAGAATCTAATCTGGATTTATGCCAATATGAGACACTTCAAGACTGCTTTTATGTTTTTATATTGTCTACCAGGAACCACATGGAGGTCATTTTATATCTCCCTTACCAACGATCAACTGACTAAACATCTAAAAGCTCTTGTTGGTTCCTTTAACATCTTACACAGACCAGTTTTGCAGCTGGACCGGACTACAATGGAATAATTTATTTTTCCTAAATTTCATCCAAAAAAACGATGTAAGCTTGAGTTAGAAGCCCAACAGTGAACATCAGCGCTCTCTGACAGACGGCTTCATCGAGTCAAACCCAGTGCAGGGATTTGCTCTCTGGATGGCCTCAGAGGTGTCAGTGCAAGCTGTTAACGCACATCTGTAGACATGTGAGCATTTGTGTGTGTGGTAAGAGTTTGCAAGCTGATATCATATGTCTACATATGTGTGTGAGTTTGTAAGCTGATATCACTGGTCTGAACTTTGGCAGTGTGAAGGATAGCTTCACAGGTACAGATGGGGCTACTGTGGTTTTACTTGCTGTAAGTGTTTGATGTTATAGTCCTCCTCGCCGCTATGTGTGTGTGTGTATGTGTGTGTTTGAGGTGATAATGAAACAACTACAGTCCTGTTTGCCAGCCTCCCCTCCAGTCATTTTCCATCACATCTGGTGAATGAGGTGCACTTTGACCCCTCCATGTTCAAAGCTGCCCTAAATACACACACAGTCGGAGAATTCACCTCTGTACGTTGGCTGTAAACAAAACCTTTAATCAGTGATTAACATAGCAGTGAGATGAGGCAACAGGATGAGGAGAAAGAAGAAAAACAAGTTGGGAGGAGGGAGAGAAAGGCTGATGAAGGGGAGATGGATGTGATTGAGGGTGTTGAGTACAGACAGATTGGCTGGAGGAGTTGAATGCTTACTGGTGGTGTTTGTGGAAGTAAAGCTGATTCTACTGATGTAGTCTGATGAAGTCAATTACAACAAAGTCAGAAGTTGCAATTTTAAGAAAAAAATGCAGCTGCAGAAATTAAACTAAAACAAGTTCAAACAAAAAAGACAAAAAGAAAACTTCTTAAAAAACTGTACAAAAAAGAAAATAATCATTTAAAAAATGACAAATGAAATGTGAGTAATTAATAAGAGTAGGTGGATTCCCAATAACATTTGCATTACAGCACAATGTTGCCTTTCACTTTTCTTTTTCATCAGCTTGAGCTTGCACATGACCCGACGACTTTCACAGTTTATTTTTGCACTGTATAAAAGTTAAGCTGCACAGTGGATGTCTACAGGACACCAGACTCCATAGTAGCATTTTTTTAATATATAATTTTTGATTATTCTTGGATTTAACTTTGATGTGTCTGGGAGTTTTATTTGGATTTACAATGCAGCTTTTCAGATTACAAACCATCACATTCTAGAAAGAAAAATCTGACTCGGGACACTGTGCGATGTGAACGCAGCCAAAGAATACCAAATGTATGAGAGGAAGTGATAAGGAGAGAAAGTACTGGAGGAGTTAAAAGGGGTAGAGGAGGAGAGGGAGGTCAGGGCAGGGTGAGGACGAGAAGAGGTGTGTTTGGAGAGGAAGAGGAGGAAGACAGGGAAGGTCAAAGAAAATGAGAGAGAGAGAGAGAGAGATGGAGGAGCGAGGACAGACCACCCACACTGCACACACACACACACACACACACACACACACACACACACACACACACACTGTGGTCAGAGGTTCACCTGCAGTTCACGTTGACCATAACAACACCCCTGAGAAAGCGAGCTAAAGGGAGAACATGAGATGTTCGAG